GTCCCTTATGTCTCCCCTACGCAGGCACCTTTCAAGCTTCTCTGCTGCGTGAAAAGTGCACAAATATAAGTCCTGAAAATTTCAGTCTGCAGCAATTAAAGCTCATTAAATATGCATGAGAGCATCTGGAAGGCCACACAATGCTTGTCGATGAGGTGGAAGTCAACTCAAGCTCCATGAGCACGTGAAATCAAGCTGCCCTCGCACGTTAACGCTACGTTGTCCGAACGCTAAAAAAAAAATAAGTTCTGTCCTCTGCTGTTTCATTTTCTGCAAGAAAAAAAAAAATGCTTCCCTAACAGCTTTAGTAAAGGCCCTCGGTGTATCTTTACATGAACCTTACTCACAGTCAGCTCTCTCAGCTCGTGGGGACTGAGTGAATAACTCAGCCCGGTGAATCCCGAGGAAGTTCAACACTCAGCTCCAGGTTCCTGCTTCGTTTCGGGGCTTTGGAGTTGACAGGGATGAAATGCAAACCCGAAAGCCAAGGCAGAACTATTCAAAGCCTGTCCCTCTGATCTTTCTGTTGACTTGAGGAGGAGCAAGCTGCCCTGAAACCAGAGCAGCCAGGTAATCTCATCCTGCACTTCAGGTGTAATTAGCACTACAATTGTTTGCCTTTGTGGCTTCCACCTTGGGCTGCCTGGGAGTCTCTGGCTGCGGGGAGGAAGCTTGTGAGCACCTTAGGAGTTCTTAAAATACAATTGCCTCGCTGAGTAAGACAAGATGAAACATTAACTCTGCATCCTTCACCCTTTTGGCACCCTATCTCGAGGTTAATCCTGCTCATACCGCAAACACTTTTATAGGTTATCAGCAATCGCCAGGAAATATTCCAAACTCTAGGCACTCATGTGTGAGAAGGATAATGGTGAAGAAAAGTCTTGTGGTTTCCATGTTGCCATCAGGTTACAACAGGTGCCGTTCCACTCACTCTAATACCATAATTAATCTTGTAAGCCGGCTTGCACAAACTCCAATTTATAGATAAATCGTTTCTGTTGTCATCTCCAAACAAACAAAAGCACAGGAACAACCCCCACCTCCTCACCTCAAACCCCAAAAACATTTCAAGTGGCTGGAAATGCAACCTCCCCCAAAGAGTGGGAGGACATAAAATTACCACCTGACACCGTGGTCAGAAGCTTGTGCAGATAGAGAAGCAAATTCCTTCCTTACAAGCACTGGAAAAAAGGACCTTGATCACCAAAGAATGGGAAAACCCCTGTCTGAACACAGAAACTACTCTGGATAAATACACATACTAACATAATAGATACCTGAATGCATATTTACATGCAGTCCAGATGTTTAAACTGGAGCTGTAGGTCTTACACTACAATCCTAGAACAGTTTAATCTTGTCAGGATACAGACAGTTCCTTTCCTGCCTTTTTTTTTTAAAAAAAAAAACCAGAAAAATATTAACCCAAGTGAGATGTAGCAGCACAACAGCAGCTTGGACTGGCTTAAGGTGTCATCAGCCATATCTTTGAGTGTAAATTGCATTTTTTTTTAAATACCAGCACTAATTAACAATACACTGAATTGATTCAAAGGCACAAGGAAACCCAAGGACTTAAACATACTTATGTGATGCCTGTACCCCAACATCACCTTAAAACGAAGTGTTCAGTAAGAAAAATCTTAATTAAAAAGCCTCCAACTGCCATTTGCTTTGCTTCGTGGTATGGTTTGCACAGCATTTGCCTGAAGTATAATGAGTATCTGCTAAGAGGAGCCAAACATCACATTCATAAAAGGAAATCCACTGCAACTCTGAAATAAAACAGCAAAATAACTTCCTGATTGTTATCAAGACCACATCTGAATAAAGCAGTGCACTAGGAAATACTTCTGTGAATTACAGAGCCAAGAAAATAGAAGACTTAGAGTCTTAACTACTAACAAAACAGTGCTGGATTATTTAATTCATAAAAGCCTGTTAATCGAGATCCCAGTTTGCAAAGTAGAAAGGATGGAAAAAGAAGGAGCCTCTGTTGATACCCAGCAGAGCTTCCAACTTCAGACGTGGTGCTGCAACCACATTGACACAGCAGTGGCTTTCCAAAGCAAGGCTTCCATGCAGGCTTTGCAGGATTGGGTCTAATTTGAAGCAAGATTCAAAAAAAAAAAAAAAAAAAAAAGCCTAGATGCAAAAAAAAAAACCCCAAAAAACCAAACAAACAAACACACACACAAAACAAAAACAAACAAAAACCCAACCAAACAAAAAACCACTAACTCAGGAAACCCAAGTACAATTACAGATGCTTCCCCTCCCTAAAAATGAGTGCTATAAACTTAATTTATAGATACCACTGAGCGTAAGAATGATGCAGGACCCTCAGTATAAACACCCTGAAATGTGAGTACTATAAATAACCCACTGTTTGATAGAGAAATCCCTTCCACATGCAGGCAGGGAACCCATTATACTTTTATGAGCTGTAAAAACGAGTAACAGTTAAGCACACCACTTTTATTAACCTAATAAACCCTTGCCTTAAGAAATTCATATTTCAAACACCAAAGACAACCACCACCACCAACCACAAGTAAACACCGAGAATATTTCAAAGCTTAAGTTTCCACAGCCTGACAGGTTTGCAATGTTAAGCCCTTCGGTGCAGAGGGAAGGAAAGGACATTACTCGTGATCCTGAAGAAAACAAATACTTGCTTCGGGTCCAAAGCCCCAGAACTTCATACAAATACTGCTCAGAACAAAGTGTGTACGAGAGAGCTTCCAGGAAAGCTGTCTCTGGCCTCAAAGCCTGTTAAAAAAGCAGAGCCACAGAAGCCTCACAAGTGGATGACTCTTCAGAGAGTCAGTTGCACAAATTCTTAAATTTAAGATTAAACGGGTAAGAAAAATAGCAGCCTTGATATCAGTGTTTATTTCTCTAAATTCTAGGAGCATCAGAAATACTATAGGGGGGTATCAGTTGTTTAGACCTGACTGTGACAATCTGCTGAGGAAAAAAATATCAAGTCCAGGACATTTTGTTTGAGAGGGAAAAAGGCGCTGATCTTTTAGGCTGGACTTAAATGGATTTACCTATCACTTACAAGCAACAGGATGATTAACAGCTGCAAACTGCCAAGAAAGGTGCCAAGAGTGAAGGGTTCAGGTCCCTCTTCCTTCTGATGAGCACCAGGGATTGATACACAAACATCCTTCACTCCTGGATCAGCCTCCTAACAATCAGGGTTCAGCCATCCCCTCTAGTCCATAACGTTTTTAAGCTTAGACAGAATAAAATAGAACCAGAAGTTGGACTTCAATGGTCCTTGTGGGTCTCTTTCAATCCAGGATATTCTCTGATTCCACAAAATAACTCGGATAACAAGATACAATCTCCCCTTCTCCCAGATTCCTTTACTTCCCCTACTTCTTGCCCACATATATTTCCTGCAGAACTGAGTCCCTGGCTGGAATGAGACACGTGGATAAACTCAGGACTGAACAGATGTGGGATGTACTCGGGAGGGAGAGGTGCATTAGTCATCCCTGGGGATTCACAACTCCTGTGCAACCTCATCTCATTTGACCTGCTCTGAGCCATGCATTGGACCAGACACCTCCAGAGGTTCCTTCCCACTGGAATTACTGTCTAATCCCGGGGGGTAAACCAGTCAGAAGGTGTCTGGGGCACAGCCAAGGAAATGACCTATGTCAGGAAAGGGACATGAGCAAGAGGAAAGCCCATGTCTGTCACTGAAACTAGGCACCACCTTCCAGCTGCTCTCCCAGCTCCCACCAACTCTTCCACACTGTCACTCCACTTCCCCCAAGCAATTGTCCACAAGGATGGGTCCCTCCTCAGTTTTGAGAGCTGATACTTGAGGTTTAACAAAATGCAGGTTTTGGTCAGAACATCCCTAACCCACCAGACTGTAAAGACATCAACAAAAAAAGACATTTTTTTCTGGAAGTGGGACTCTAGAGCTCTTGTGAACTCTGTGAACATTCCCCTGCTGTCATTTTACAAGGTATGGAAACTCTGTATTCAATATTTAACCACTGAAAAGAATTAAAGAGTTACTTTGATTCAGATCATGTAGAAGATAAAGGTTTTCCCCTTCCTTCTGTTTTTTTGCTTCAGCTATTAAACTGACTTCGCTGGCTTCCCTTTCCCCAAAAGGAATTATTGGCATACTCCTGTGAGAATGTTTTGGGGGGGAAAAAAGCCACCCTACGTGTTTCTTGGATTTTTGCCTTCTTCACCTTCCCATTCCTCGGCTGAAGCTGCCTTTTCATACTCACTTCCTCATCATCCAGAGCAAGTTTTTCCAATTAAGACAAGTAATAAACATTTAAACAGCTGCCCAGACCACGGTCTGATTAACATAACCCTTAGGCAAGTTTCGTGGAGGGGGGAAAGAAACCACCAACAACCCAACAACAACAACAAAAAATATTCTCTTGTCAATTCACGCTCCTCTTCTCTATTTCCCTGCTTGCTTTTGCCTTCGTGTCGCTGTCATCGGGTTAACCCCGTCCCACTCAAGCGCCGAGGGGCAGGAATAGGGGTTGGAGAGCGACGGGATGGATTAACACGGGGCAAAACAGAGAAAAAGAGGAATTTTTCCCCCAAAACCCCAAAGCAGGAAGAAGGAAGCGCTTTCCCAGCGGGAACCGAGCGCAGCCCGGCTGTAAAGCAGGTGCAGGAGGTGTGGAGAAGGGGTGAAGTGGGCAAGGAGAGGGAAAAACCAACCAAACAAACATAAAACTAGGAAGATTTAGGGAAAAGGGACGGCAGGAGAGGGGGGCGAGCGCGGCGCGGCTTCGCTCACAGACCCACCCGCGCCTTCGCAGGGGTGCGTTTGTTTATCACGAACAAATAAATACCCACGCACACGCCCCGATACACCCACCCTCGGGCACACCTGTCCCTGCGGACACCTGTCCCTATGGATCGGCACCCCCTGGTCCCGCCGCGATCTCGGCGAGGAGAAGGGACCGGGGAGGGGGGGTGCTGAGGAAGGAGGGTCTCACCTCGCCGGTTCATGGGGCGGACGCGCACCGCCACCTTCACTTTGGAGTCCCCCATCCTGCCGCTCCAGCTTTCCCGGCTCCCTCGTCCCTGCCCGGCTTCCGTCTGCGGAGGGAGAGCCGGCCACGGGGAGGAGCGGCCGCCGGGGGGGAGGTGCCGCGCCGGGCCAATTCCGCCGGGACTACAACTCCCGGCGTGCACCGCGCCGCGCCACGCCTCCCTGCTCCCAGCGGGCCGCCGCGGTGCGCGCTGGGAGGTGTAGTTCTTCCCTCCGTCGCCGCCTGGGTGGGGAGCAGGCTGGCTGAGTCCCAGGATCAGTTAGGTTGGAAAAGCCCTCTGAGGTCGTCGAGTCCAACCGGTGACCGATCACCAGCTTGTCAACTAGGCTGTGGCACTAAATGCCATGTCCAGTCATTCCTTGAACAACTCAAGTGGTGAGGACTCCATCACCTCCCTGGGCAGCCCCTTCCAATGTCTGATCAGAGAATCCCAGAATCGGTCAGTTTGGAAAGGTACAAGAGCGGGTCGTTTGGTCCAACCTCCCTGCTCAAACACACAGCACAGGATTATGTCCAGACTGTTCTGGAATATCAGTGAATCACAGAATGATTTGGGTTGGAAGGGACATTAAAGGTCATCCAGTTCCAACACTTGCAATGGACAAGGACGCCTTCGCCTGTCCCAGGTTGCTCCAAGCCCTGTCCAGCCTGGCCTTGGACACTTCCAGGAATGGGGGAACCATGGCTTCTCTGGGCAAACTGTGCCAGGGCCTCAGTGCCCTCACAGAGAAGGATTTCTTCCCATTATCCCATCTAACCCTGTCCTGTTTCAGTGAGAAGCCATTCTCCCTTGTCCTGTCTCCTCCATCCCTTGTCCCAAGTCCCTCTCCAGCTCTCCTGGAGCCCCTTTAGGCTCTGGAAGGGGCTCTCAGCTCTCCCTGGATCCTTCTCTTCTCCAGGTGAACCCCCCCAGCTCTCCCAGCCTGGCTCCAGAGCAGAGGGGTTCCAGCCCTCAGAGCATCTCCGTGGCCTCCTCTGGTTTTGCTCCTTCAGGTCCATGACCCTCCTGTGGTGAGGACCCCAGAGAACCATCACAAACCATAACCCAACATACAGATGTGGGTTTAGGTGATGCCTGGGACTGGTTTCACAGAGCCACTCCTGCCTATTATTCACATGCCTGGTGCTATTCACTCAGCAAAGACAGCTCACTAAAAAAGCTCAACAGGAATAGTCTGAGACAGTTTGAACAATAAACAATATTACCATTTATCCCCATCAGACAGATCAACAGTTCAACCACAGCCACGGGTTGCAAAGACCGAGAACGAAACTGTAATGCAAAGATGCAAAAAAAACCCCAAAACCTCATTTAAATGGTCATGGCTGAAAAGCCTTGCAGCTGCTATTTTAGTTCAAAACAAGGATTCTCTCAGTGTTATTTTGAAAGGCCAGATTCCAGCAAGGCCGGGAAATAAAACAAATTCAGAATTGTAACCTTTCAGCCTTTCAACATCCAAGGAGGTTTTGTGACAGAAATAAAAAAAAATAACACATTTCCAAGTGGTTTTGAGATAAGATTTCAGCAGGTAGCACTTTTTGCCCAGAGGAACTGCACTCAGTATTTATTATTTCATTCCCACCTGGCCCGAAGAGTATCTTGTCAGGGCAGAGAGAAAACAAACGTTAAGTTGGCATTGAAGTCACCCTGAGATTAATGCCCATGTTCTTAAGAGCATCCCAAGTGAGCACAAGGGTTGGGAAGATGTCTCGAAGTTAAAAAAAAAATAAATAAATAACAGGTCATACTAAGCAGGGTGGCAAAACTTGAAGCAGAAAATGAGTTTTTATCTGCAGCAGGAGAAGGAATCTGCTCTCCAGCCCCACAGCCCCGTGCTGTGGAGGGTTTCTTGCTGGCAGTGGGAACACCCCGCTTCCAGGCTGCACAGTTGGTCCTTGCACTTGTGAACTTGAGGATCCAGTTACAGGATGAAACCCAGCTTTGAACTTCTTGTGGTATTTTCCAGCTGGGGCCTCGACAAACCGCACCAAGGTTCTCTGAAACCCAGCAGTTCTCAGTGGAGATAAATATAGTCCCCTTTTCACAGCTGGACACCACCGGCAGCAAGGGGAGGGTGGGTCTTTTTTTACAGCAGGTTGAGTCACCTGGAATTTGATTTGAAGAAATGGGATGAAACCCACTGCCAGATGTGGATGCAGCTGGGCAGAGCAGGTGTCACCCAAATCCAATTATTCCTCCTGCATCTCCCCTCCTGTTTTAGTTATCATTGGGTTTATGTAAAATTAAACAGTAAATCTTTTAAGGGGAATTATTCTATATAACCTTTTTATTTATTCCAAAGAGCCTGTTTTAAGTGGACAATAACAAATGCAATCATACAATTCTTACAACTTTGGCTCCGGTTTTCTACCTGGAATGAAGAATTAATTTTTCTACCTGGAATGAAGAATTTGTTTTGAGATCTGAAAAATCACCCTTTTAGCCTTCCTTGAGTTCTGACAGCCAAAGAGATACCAGATTCACGTGTAATCGTCGCTACTTTCTGCAAACTTCATCAAAGACCGAGACATCCTTAGGGCTCAAAGAACCATCTCAGCTTTGATGCCTTTGATGGGATCTCTGGGAAGATGTGCAGGAGCAATAAATTGTGCTGGCTCTCTGCAGTCCTGCCTCTGGACTTCTCCTCTATTCAAGCCCCTGCTTCCTGCAATGAATTACAGCAATGCAGCTCCTCTTGCACTGGCACAAGGTACCTCAGTGTAATTACCCCACTGTGAATTCCCCGACAAGCCCTTTCCCTGGCTCAGGGTTTCACAATCTGTGGGAAGCATCTCCCTGGAGGGGCACAGCTTGGAGGGAGGATATTGTTTCCATTCACAGCACTGGAACATGCTAATTATGCTGGGAGGAAAGGGGAGGGGTGGCAGCTTTCACTTGGGAGGGACAGGCTGGGCAAATAGTTTGTGAAACGCCAACTTAACCCCATCTTGTAGGGAATTGTCTCCAGCTCTTTTCCCCCTTCCTAGTTACTGTAATGAGGGGCTGACTTCCCAGATTAGCTCTGGCTATTTAAATGCTAATTTAATTAACAAAACATCCTTGGGGGGGGAGGCATTGCCTGTCCCTCCCATTCATTTATCGAGTTTCTGAATGCAACACTGTCTTCATCAGGTTGATGCCACAGTTATTGCTGTACCCACCTGGTCGTAGCAGCAATTAAACAGGGATGTGGAGGAGAGAAAAACAGGTCCTTCATCTCTCTCTCTCTCTCTCTTTTTTTTTTTTTTTTTTTTTTTTTTAACTGAATTTGATTGATTTTGTTGTAGAAACGACCAAGCCAAAACGATTTCACCGTGTCCTGTGATGCCCGGGATGTGTAGATCACCAGCATGCCGTGGAGGGAGTTGACTTTGGGTTTTATCTAGATCAAGGTATGAATGTTTTAGCTCTCACATCATCCAGATAGAATTGTATCTCAGGGCAAGCCAGAAAACGTGACAGTCTTTTGAATGTCTCTTCTTCCAAACAACAAATCAAGTGTGTTTTAAACCCATTTTTCCATTTGTTCGACTGCGCATGGGAAGAGACGCATCAATTATGAATTCGCTGCAGACCTACTTTGTGCCCATGAATCATTCAGGCCTGGGAAAAACTAAAAGAGAGGATCTTACAAACATTTAGTTAGTTGTATCCAAACTCTTTTAAGTTTTTTGGAAGAAGCTGAGCATCACTGGGACAGTCCCACCCACAGACTGGGAAGGATTCGGGTCATCCAGCAGCTCTTTGGCACCTTCAGTGCTCAGGTCCTTGATATGAAAATGTTTGATGAAGCATTTAAAAAAAAAACAAACCTGTTGCTGTTGTACAATTTTTCAGTGATTTTTGTTTTGTCCAGTCCCCGGGGTAATGAGTTTTATTCTGATCTGTGAATTTTGTCTTGAGGTTTATCTTGCTTTTCAGTCTGAAGAAACAACCATGTAAATGTATTTCTACATAAAGAAATTTGTAGCCACTTATAGGCCAAGGCAGAAGACAAGGCTGTTACAAAGTTATTTCAACTTTAATTGAGAAAGAAAGCACCGAGGGAAACCAGTATTAAGAACAGGTCAAAAAAATCTGGATAAAGCAGCAAATCAATTTCTCCAAATCATTTGTGTTACAATTCTGCTTGTTATTTAAAACTTACTAATTTATTTATTTGTTTATTTTTAAAGGGATTGCTGAAATTTCTCACACAGCACTTTGTGCAAGCGCGCAGGTTTAGGAAACTCACCATCAGCTTTTGCAAAGCACTTTCTGTGCTTTATTATTTTAATAGGAACAAAAAACCTGAAGGATTGATTGTTTCCAAGGTAATTCGTAACTGCGAAATTTCCTGATCCTGAGGTGGATTTTTGAAGGTATTTGTGTGTGACCTCCTGCCCTCAATGTGAACAGGTAAATAAATGAAGCCTCGACATCTTCTTGTAGTAGATTATAACAGAGTAAATCCTAAACCAAACTTTTTCTAGACATCTCCCACCTTTTGAAAGTCATTCCAAAGTTCAAAGTCCTGGCCATTAATTTCATAGGACGTGATGCTCTTTCCTGTATTACCCAGAGGGGATCCCAAATGGATAATCAGGCTCTAATGTCTCCATAAACCCCACACACGTGCCCTGTTTATGGCAGTGAAATTCCTTCTAGCTGTAGGATTTCAGTACAAATTCCTACCTCTGGCAGCAACACAGGTCCAGGCAATATTAGCAATTTATGTACTGGCAGAATGAGGCCCCTGATGAGAATTTTCTCATCTTACTGACTAAAAATTTGTATTATTCTTCTCATCTGTTCAGTTTGCTGATACAGGGAAAGCAACTGGTTTTACCCGTCATGTTGCATTTTATTGCTGTGGTTCTTTCCTCAGGTAAAGATTCAACACTGGATTTCATTTGTATGAAAATAAAATGGATTTTCTGTCCCTTGGAGCAAAATGGAGAATCTCTAGAGGACCTGAAAAATACAACTTCAGCAGGAGAGTAGGTTTTAAGCAGTTGCAGGACAAGTTTGTTATCTTTGAAAAGCAAAAACCCCCAACACAATGGCAATCACTGATACTCTGAAAAATGC